TCTAAAACCTAAAAAAAAATAAAATAAAGTCCAACATGTTTTTTATGTGGATGTTAATTTTAATTGACTTTATATCAAATAGAGGACAGTAAGACACCAGCCTCGTATAGATAGGATATATTCACAAAGGTTTTTAAAGTTTTTGAAATAAGTTGTTCCGGCCGACAAATTTTCTGGTGATGCGAAAGATCAAACAGAAGAGATAAATACTCCGAGTCGACTGACCACGAGAAGCATAAATTTCGGAGTAGCCATTTTCCCGCTAATGTAATTAGAAAGTTTTCCTCATAAAACTGATAAATGGTTTTAATAGCTCTATTAGTCCGGAAATCTGTAGACAAAGAAATGTAAAGAATACTTTAAGCAATTTTCAGATGTTTCCATTCGGTCACTATGCTAGCTTTACACCGTAAGTGTTTGTCTAATACATATTAGTTAATACGCATAAAAATGGCATAGAACTGGTGGTGATTTCTTCAAATAGATCACCGCACCCCACACATTTGTAAATACCAAACTCTCTGGCTTTCTTAAACTTTATGAATTGTCTTTAACCGATAAGATAGGGATACGTGCCTTAAGTTTCAAACACTTTAATGAATTGTTTTAATCTGATAAGACTAGAATATGTATTGTAAATTTCAACGAAACTTGGTATCTACGCTGACAGATGAATGTATGTCTTTTGTTTTCAAAGGTGCAAAGTGGATAATTTGAACAGATTCATGTGCCTTAATGAGAGGAATTTTGGATATCGAATGCTGTTTTCGCCCAGGAATAACAAAATCAAGATACTTTTGAGCCATTTGACACATTCCTCTTAAATTAAAGCAGTAAATTGTGAAATTTGCGCTTGCAATTACTTTTCTTGAAAAAAAAATATATAGATAGGATTCGTCTTTCCTCATTCTTGATAAATATCTAGCAATTATAAAAATACATAGTTATTAACGACTGTTAGTAAAGAAATTTTTTATTGTAGTAAATTCATACTCTAGCATTTTTGCCTCAAAAAATTGTTTTTCCTGAAGGAAAATCTTATGTAGGTTAAGGACAGATGATACAAGCGAAAAAATGGATGTCTGTATATGTTTGGACCTGTTTTGGTTGTACATGATACAAATATCAAATTTCTAAAATATAAAGAACTGAAAACTTCCTATCATGTTCAAAATTCTATCTTTTTGCTGCCATCCTTATGAATCTATTCAATTTTTCATCACTTAATATGACTTTTATGTGAAATTTTGAATGAAAAATTAAAATCTATGCAGCTAAACTTATTCATTTACCGTACATAAACATTGGTTTTAGTTGTTATTTTCATGATTTGGAAAGTTTGTATTATCTGTCCTTTATATGTAATTTGGACATGCCGTTGTGACTTATCAAATGCAGTATATTTCATCTATGCATGCCTAATTCTTTGATGCGCGTGCATTGTTTGATACTCGGCTACTCACGCGCGAATAAGGGGTTATCTCTTTTATCCATTCATCATAGATGTTCGCATGTCAACGAAAGCTTCTCGAATACCACTTTATCATTTTATCAATTCCAGATCCTTTGGGTCGATAACATGCACATATTATACAAAATGTAAAAAGAACACGAAAATTTTATTTGGTGGAAAATAAAAATTTCAACAATCGTAAAATCTGCAAGAAAGAACAAACTTAAAGCACAGCATGACATCATTAAGAAAACTTATATCGAAACCCTGATAAGCTTGAAGCGTTATCGCTCATCATTTAACGTAAGACTGGAGTGAGTTTGCACGTGCACTTAGTATTGGTAACCCTTTACTTTGAGTGTTGTAGACGACATCGTCAAGGCTTTCAAAGGAAAAGCCACGCAGTTTCAAAGAAATGTATTTCGGAAATATTATTGAATACGAGTATTTGATGTTTAGTATTCTTAATAAATTCAAACAATAAATTTGAAGAGATAATATAAATATCAAAAGAGTTATGGCGTGCCTCTTGAGATGTATAGGGTCTTCTGTTCGTTTAGAAGACATCAAATATAGAGATGGTTACACGATTATGCGAATAAAATGAAAAACAATCTTCGTGAAACTAGACTTAGGAGTTTTAACCAGTTTGACTACAATTTTCTCTCTGATATACGATCTGTATTCAGTAGTGAATAGCTAGATTGTAAATACTCATAATAAATTTAAATAAAGTAACATTCCTTTTTTAATTGTATTCTTTCATATATCCATGGTGCTACTATTCTTTATGAAGATGACTGTGTATCATGAACTCCAGTGAGCAATATAGCACAAATTTTTTTGATGTCACTTTTTTGTAAACGAATATTCGTTTTGGCGGGTTAAATTAAATTTAAAAACGAGAATTTTATTACCCTGTAACTTCTCCTGTATGTCATGATGTTTCTTTGCATTGCTACAGTTACTCAGTCATGTTTTTGAACAACTCCAATCGATGAAAAAAATCCTGCTGATTTAATGAGGGAATAAGATTTTCAATAAACAGCTCTGCCGAGGGTATATATTTTCTCAGAGGGTTAGTTTTTACTCGATTTTACTTCCTTTTACTTAGTGGTAATAGTGTATCCTTCAACCCAAAGGATGTACACTTTTGAAAATTATACATGTATAGTATATTATGCATGAATAAGCTATAAAAATAAGACCGATCAGATGTTCCTTTAAAAGAATAGTTCACAAGTGTTAAAAATTTGCTCTTTTTGAAGAATGCATTTAAAAATAATAAACTTTTTGATCTATCGGACACCGTATAGCAATGTTGTACATGCATCATACCAATAGCAACTTTTTTTCATGCAAAAATACACATACGGTACATTATGGTACATAATAAAATTTACAAGAAAATCTATTAAATTCAAAATTAAGGAAATGGCAATTTTTTAAGGAAGATAAGACCTGGATTTATATCAGAATCAGATTTCTTTCCTAGCCCTAGATATTTTACTTTTCATGCAGGCAATGAAATAAAGTTTGAATTACAACAACCTTTAAAGATTTTATTCGCATACAGTTTAAAGTATTGTCGTCTTAGTGTAATATACGTAATTATGTATCTAAAGCATACGACATATGAAAATGTATTTCATAATTAACAAACAAGAATATGTTCTTTATAACAGTTCATAGGGACTTTGAGCTAGCTAGTCTGTTTAACTTTATTCACATTTATCAGTCTTTGGAATGAAATAGAGATGCTTCAATATCTAAATATCCTGTCAACTTAATCGATCAAACTTACAATCCGTTCATTTCTGGGTTCTGACTTTTGACCAAGAAATCAGTCAAATTTCTCCACATTATCTACAAGTTTCTTTCAACTGAAAAGATGGTACGTTGTGCCGATAAAATTCACATGAATCTTGATTACATGGTATTGATATTTTATTTGTTATGAAGAACACATGTTTTGTTTGCTTTTTTCGGGGTAAAAATTTGGCAAGCAGGTGGACATTATTGCACGGAAAAAATATTTTTGCAATTCAAAAATTTCACATAGGAAATTCTAAAATGCAATTAAAAATAAAATAAATGTTTTTGAATTGCTATCTTCCGCTGGGATCGAAATGAAATTTGAGATTTTCGGGGATAATTCTGATAAGTATATATTTATTCTAAATGTTTTTTCCACGATGTTATATTTGCGTGAGTCAGCATTTTTATGCAAATTATATGGTGCAAATGAATGATGATTTTAAATACTTAAGCTTTTTGTGCAAGTGCACCAATACGTTCATCTGAAAAAAAAATTCATACGTACAATTGGTTTTATTTGACATGGGCATTACTGCTGTGGGTCTAAAGAAAGAACACATGTTTTTGTCAGAATATTTTGCAAAATAAAATACAGTGTATCATAATAAATTTCACTTTAAGCGTCAGGACAGGCACTGGTCATTATTTCTGTCTTTTCACGATTTTCTACTGCAATATATCAATGGCCAATCAATAGCAAGTCAAATATAAAAGATTTAAGCAAACGAGTATGTTTCTTTGTGCATTTTATTTTTTTTCTCTCTCTCTCTCTCACTTTTCATATGAACCACAATATACTTTCTCCTGAAGAAAAATGCATAATTTAATCGTGCATGTTTCTCCACACTGTGATGGAGCATTCTGTCGGTAGATATGATAGCATTCCGTCAATATATGTTATAGTATTCCGTCATTAATGTTCAGACAGATGCAACTCTGAGAGAATGTTCAATATCCTTCCGCGATTTTTTTTATGAATTTTTAAAAATCTTTATTCTTTTCAATTTCGCTTTGACTGAGCACATCCATCATTGATTTCAATCCTTTGATAAAACATCTTTTTCCTAGATATGATTTACGTAACGATGGTTATCTTCATCAACTTCTCGAACATTGATGAAAAGGAAATTATTCGGACTTTTTTTAAAGCATGCGAACGTGATTCATTCATTCTTTTTTTTTTTCTTAATTTTTGACGTGTTGTTCAAACTGATGTAAGATATGATGATTTTTTGCTTTGTTTTATAAACATTTGTCAGAGGTTTAACTTTTTTTTTTCATAGTTTGTTTAAACTTGACTCAGTCTGTGTATCATTTTTAGAAATAGATGTTCATAGCATATTTTTGCTTTTCCTATTGCTGGTATAAGATATTTGGCTTAAATTGTTCTATAAAAATGTTTTTAATAAACATGAACATGCTAACAATGCCATTAAAGCTTCTTCTGAAACACCTGATATAATTATAACAGATCACATTTCCCCACAGTTATTGGAAACAGGTATTTCCTTGTCCTTTTAGATCATTTCAGCTACTTTGTACTGTTTTATTCACCTTTCACAAACCATGTATATGGTATACATTTATAAACCCCAAAATCCTCTGTATTTACATCACTAACAAATATTTTCAAAAAAAAAAAAAAAAAAAAAAAAAAAAAAAATTAAAGTCGTGAATGCATAAGAAATGTACCAGATAAACTCTATCAGTTTTATTTCATATCGTAAAAAAGACAATGTGTCAGAAATCACTTTAAAAGTTATTTACATATATATTACATCTGTGCTGTACATACATTTTCGCGTCAAAATGCTTACTAAATTGCCAGCTGCCCATTTAAAGATTAATTAATGTCATAGTAATGATGAAAATGATGATATATAACACTTCAAACTTCCAAAGCTAAACAGAAAAAATGGAGAGTTCCTTATGGGCCTGAAGTGTACAAAGCCTCGAACATGACTTGCACGGTTACAAATTTAGCTTTTGTGTTCGAAGTTTTTCGAAGAATGCGTTATTGACAAAATGATTTCGATTAGGAAAATACACATTAAATTAAACCTTCCGCTTCCCCTTACATAATTGGATCGCGACTGTGAACACTCTAGTATGAGCTGAAGCCCCTTCCGTCTTTGAGTGTTGATTCAGCGATAATAATCAGTGTTGCATGTTTTGTGTCAAAGAAATCAGAATTTGTGTCCGAAATGTTACAAAGTAATGCATCAATATTCGATATTACATGGGTTGATTTCACATAAAAAGAAGTCGTTGTAATTCACTCAAGACGAAAGAGACAGGAAATAATCGTCTTGTATAATTCAGGCATCATTTTGCCTTGCCACGTTGTGATGCTCAAAACGTTTTTGCAATGGCGAAACTTCTATTTAAATATGTCTTTGCGCTACAGTACCGGTGCACTGTTGAAGACACTGAAGGTAGACCAGTTTGCCATTCAGGATTGGACGTTCACAAGTTTAAAAAAATATTCTAATCACTAAATTTATTAAGTCGTCTCGTGTTTTACAGAGGACGCTCCGGTGGTGAAATTCCAGTCATCATTCCAGACGATGTGTTGGGACTAATGCTCTCAACAATCAGAGACAAACAGTCTAAACTAGATACGTTTCCGCCTTGAGGCTGTTGTTGCGCCTGCGCAGATGTTTGTTGGTGATGGTCGTAACCTAAGGAGTGAAATGCAATAATAATAGAATATGATTTTCAACATAAAGATAAAATATATGTTCAACTGTTCTCTCTTGAACAATATACAAATACACAATTGCAATAAACATGATAAATGATTATTATTATTATATTATGATTATCATATTCAGCTTCTGTCTTATTGTTAAAACAATATTCCATTTTTTTTTTATCAAGATTAAGAGAATACCGTAACTCTGATTATTTTGATAATGCATTAAACGTATAGAGTCTTGTATTCACAATAAAATTCGGAATAAGTAATATTTGTTGTTCAATAATTAATATAAATAGAAGTTACGGTGTGCAACGATGCTATCATCAAAATCACTTTGAGGTGGTGGTCTTGGTTATTTTTCTAAATTTTTATTTTTAACCTTTTTTATATAGATTACTTTCCGCTGTGGAAACAATGAAGATTAAATAAAAGTGTTTTATCCACTTTGAGCGACCCATTGAAATAACTTTTGTCCTGATTAAACTTAAAATTTGACAAGTGTTTAGCTAACATAAGGAGAATATGATTTCCGTAGATTTATAATATCATAGTTTTATTCAAACAGATGAAAACATACATAATGGAAAACAAAAACAGTTGTACAATATTACTCCTGGTTTTGAGAGCTTGAATAATATAAATTTGCATGATCTCCATAAATCTGTATATCTTCTATCACATTCTACCTATGGGTTTTTGGTATTGTAGCGAATTTTTAATGAATGAACCAAAGACATTTTTAAGCAGTCTTCATGTATTTTTAATATATTTTATTAAGAATTTTCCTTATCGTCAGATTTGTAAAATGAAGTATCTTTTATAAACATTAAATATTCAAACTTTTGAAATAACGAATTTAATTTTATATGTAATTTTACATATGCAAACAAATCATACAAGGTGGAATTGTGATATGCAGTCTTGGTATATGCCATATTGTTTTGTACCATAACGTTTTTGCTTAAGCATTAACAAATTAACTTGATCCATTGCATTATCAGAACTTAGCAGTTTGAAGGATAACTCCATTTTCAAGAATGTAAAAGACAGAAGGAAGAGAAAGAAAATATATCAGTATAAACTGATTTATAACGAAGTTTGTCAGTGGGGCAGAGATATTAATCAGAGACAACGTCTAATAATGGTTGAGCGCAGACCAGTTCTGACAATGTACGACCCAATGTATGATAACTCTTAAAGAACAAAACTGATTAAGCTTCGGCTCCTAGCACGCCGAAATTAAGGAACAATTTGTCTTTTGACGCCGTTAAAAAGAGTGATGTAAAATGCCAAGGGTATGAATTGTGACTTCAAAGGAAGAAGCCGTTATTTGCTAATGCTTAACAATGAATGGAATTATAGCATAAACTAGCATAGTATATAACCTTGGTATACCCCTCCGAGTCACTAAATACTAAACTTCAACTGGATCTGAAAACGATAGTGTCGTCTAAAAAAAAAAATTGAAAACCATTTTCGATTCAGGCACTTTTGATTTGACAGATGAACCAGGTTTTAAGAAGGCTGGGTAGCCAACCGAAATTAGATTTCACCTAAATATGTGTGGTCAACCGAAATTACCCAACAGAGTCACCTAATTATAGGAAATGAATATAGTATATTATATTTTTCTGGCCAATAACTATTTTTTAGTGAAGAGAAAAACGAACACATATTCCAGTTGTAATATTTAATGCAGTTTCCTATATTTTTATACAAAGCTCTTCTTGAAAAGTTTAAAAATAGGCATGACAATGCTGTTCTCTTAGGTAATTTATGTTGCAGACGCTTGAATTATTTTAATCTATTTATTTATTTATTTTTTGGTCGTTACATGTTCCTTCAGTCAAGAGTTTCAACATTGCTTTAAATAATAATAAAGAAATATTTACTAACCGTTTCCGTGTGGATAGCTGCCATGGACCTCCGCTAAATGATGGAGTTTATCGAAGTACTGAGGACTATTCACCGTCTGTAAAGAAACGATATTCAAAGCTTAATCAATTTGTAAAAATACCATCATGACACAGAAAAGTTACTTATCAAATATTTATTAATTAAAATATATGAATACAAATGAATTCAGATTTTTTTTTATTTTTTTAATTATTTTGTATTCTCTTAGATTTACAGTTCTTGGCTTTTTAATGTTTTTTTTTTAATTAATTTTATTTTAAAATTTAAATCTTAATAACTTTTTAATATAACTTTTACAATTACTTTTGTGTTGGCAATAGTGGGTTTTCCAAAGCACTTGTAGCAATAAAACCTTCTTGTAATTTTGTTCCGATCATAATGGGTGAAAGAGCATTGTGAAGATAATGTAGCCTTTGTCTCCCCTTGGCTTCAATAAGTAAGCATCACTTTAGAATTTCCGATAAACCAAGGGTTAGGGACTATTTTAAAACTCATTTTAATCCGTATACCATACAGTTCCAAAGAACAGACCTCAAATATATCAGTTTATTTACATCTGTTATGACATTGAGGATTAAGCAATCTATGAATTTAAACGATCACTTAAATCATTGAAATTATTTTTGTTTTAATTGCGAGTTATATGAAAAACGACAGGTGTTTGAAGTTTAATGAAGGGCGCCATCATAGAATTGTTTAACGAGTTAAGCCAGATATTGGTACATCCACTAGCTTTGCTCTAATCCTTATTGTTTAACTTCCCTGAATGTCAATTATGTATATACATAGGTTAATGTCCTGAAAGCAAAAACCAAACACAGTTCTTAAAAAATTAATAAAGAGTTCGAATCACTAAACATACTAAAACCTGTTGCTTTTCTTCCTATATATTTGATTTACAAATAAAATATGGAACATATCATTAGTCAATTAACTATTAATGGTGAAATGGTGATTCAGCGATCAAAATATTTTATTCTGTTGAATATCTGAAAAAGGATTTTTGAAAATAATCACTATCATTCATAATGCATTATAAATTTATATGTTTATCATAATTCCTACCGGGAGTTAAATCTGATTGTTAAATGTATATTTCTTACGATGAATGAATTACCAATCCCTCATTAGAGCATATTCTGGTAAAATTCACTTTTAATCTATAATATTTCAATAAAGATTTTACTCCGATAGATGAAAATATAGATCAAAATTCAGAAGAAGAATTAAATCAGATATCAGCTTCATTACATTGCTCAATAATCTGTTTCACTCCTATAATAGAAATTCTCTTCAGAAATATATATACGTATGTTGATAAATAAATTCTTAAAATAATCACTAAATTTCGATATAAAAGTTTTATATGAATTTTTAACCAACGAAGCTTTCGTATCCACAAACAAAAAGCAACACATTTTGTGAATTGAATTCAATTTATTCGTGAGTAATTAATTATAGAGGGGACGAAATTCCGTGGCTTACACTTATACGTTGATCAATATGTAAATTTGTCAAAAGCTACCAAGCCCTTTTTTATCTAAGGTAAGTTCTCTCTAGATTATCGATCACCCAAAAACAATGGAATTGAAGTTTAACGAAAATTTACAATAACATGCAAGAAATCTCTGATTGTAAACTGTTGATAATGTAAAATGAGAGTTTTTGATTTTTTTTCTTAAATTCACTTAGGTACTTGTTTATCAAATGCTACAAAAAAGATTATTATAAAATTTTTAAAATTATTGTGTAAATTTTAAATTACTAGGTGGGCATGATGGGTACTAATAATGTTCAATTAAGATCTTTTAAATTTGGTTTAACTTTTGAATGCTGTGACACTGTTAAGAAATAATAGTAATAATGATGATGATGTGTAACAATATTTTCAATCATGTATTTTTTTACGTTCATTCTCTCTCTCTCTCTCTCTCTCTCTCTCTGTATTTTGCTTAATTACACCATGTACTGGTCATTCTAATGAGCCATGTAGTAGACCTAAGGGGCGTAAATGTAAATTTCACATTCCATATCTCAATTTTTATCAATTTCACCTACACAACGGAATCAAAATTTGCTACATGTCACAAATTAATTATATGTGCCCGATAAACACTCAAACGTTATTGAAAATCGCAAATATTTTTCTTGAATTTCAATTTTAAAAAATGGATTTCTGGCATATAGTATCCATATGATAAGTATTATACAGTTATTTAATGTCTGATCAATCAAAAGACCAGAATAATTTTCTCAGGGTGCTGGGAAAAGCTCATGATCAGTGTATTCTATTGCCCGAGGCCAACGGCCGGAGGTAATAGAACACATTGAACTGTTCTCAGTACCAGAAATATTCTGGTCTATTGACTGATCAGACATTCAGACATTAAATGACTGTTTTATTACCTAATATTTAACTGAGTATGGGCACTGCCGGTCAATTAGGTCGCCGGTCCGAAATTTTCAAACTATTGACCGGTGGTCCAATAGATCACTCTGAAGTTCTTTAAATATAGTTCAGATGAATAAATATACGGAGAAAATAGTTAAAAATATACATATTTAATAAAGCAACAAAATCAGTTGTATTATGTAATAAACCTTTTTAAACTCTTTCATTCGTATAATACTATTGAATGCCCCACTGTTCTATCTATAAGATCAAATTTAAAGAAAATGCATCTTCGGGATATGTCTTCGCGGGTATGTTTCTCGTTCATTTAAACTGACATGGGTATTTTTTTCCCTTATGAGTCAATGCTGTTGAGATTCGGACAATTTGCAAAATTTAAAACCTCAGATCTCAGGCGGCAAGAGGGAGTTTTAGTTAATTTAATATACAGTTTTGAGATCTTGTAAACCATAGCTTTTTATGGAAGCTACAATGAAAATAAGAATGAGGACAACAGCATTGACAGAAATTCACTCAGGTATGTATAGGATAAAGACAGGTTTCATAAAGCGTAAAATCGTCGTTCAGCAAGTTTCATGACGTCTTTCGAAAATGATATTCATGAAATCTTGGATTGCAACATACATATGCAATGTATGTATATCGACATACACGTCAAACTTAAAGATTATCTCTTTCAAGAGCAGGTAATGAACCAGCACCATATTATTTTTTCTCACATCAAATTGTTAAAAATATAGATTAAGGAGATTGGGTGTATCTTTCTTTTGTATAAAAACGAGGAAAAAAACTGCAGGGACCACTCGAGGCTAATTCAAAGATGTAACTAGTAGAAAAAAGTCATAATAAAGGGAAGAACATGATAATTTGTAGAATAAGGAAATTGGCGTGGGAATGCAGGAAATGCTTCTACATTGTCCTATCTACTGTTGTTATACATGTGTCCTTAACATGAACCGGGTGGGTGTCACAAACAAATATCAACAAGTGCAAATTTCCTTTAATCTATTTCTGTACAACAAGTTAAACAAAGACTCTGAACGTCTAATTTTTAAGTATGAGGGTTTTCCAGAAGATCTCTACATCCCAAAACTAAGATTTCTACAAACATACCTATCTCTATTCTCATAATAAAGATACAAACTTCATAATCAAGTCTTCGCAAGGCATATTTGCATTTGACTGTAGAAAGAAACATATTTCAAGCATCTCTAAGCATTTTTCACCTTTTATGAAACACGTGTGCACCATAAATATGTGCATTTAATTCGTTTATCAGTGTGTAGAAATTTCGAATTATACACAATTCTAATGATGGGGTATGTGAATTGTTAGACTATGATGCGTGTTCCAGTGTAAAATAAACATTCTTATTAATGTTAAATTGATAGAAAACGTGGTCCAATATATTGGAAACATTCAAGTATATACATGTTACATGCAGTACAAAATTGCAAGATACACCAATTTAACCTAATGATTGAACCTCAATTAACCCTGATAAAAATGGACCTCAAGTGTATTTTTGTCAAATTTTAGACAATTTTTCTTCCGCACTTCCTCGAGTTTAATTTAAACAAAAATTACACGAAATTTTGATATATTGGGTTCTAAACTCTATCATACATGAAGTCACTGATCATTTATATTTGCCAAAATTTTCGAAAGGTTTCCTCAATGATTCCCAATGAAGACAAAGGTCAAATGTATAGTACAATATTATTCATAGAGCATGTTTTCTATTGTTCACACATGTGCGTTAGATAATGTGCTAGTTTGTACAATATTTCACTTCCGTTTCATCAAGGACTAAGAGAATAAAACATATGAGAAAGCCTTATTTATAACTTGAAATAAAAATATCTATCTTTATGGGATCTCAGTAGTTATCGCAGAGAAGCTCCGATTATAATCTTAAAGAAGCAAAGATTTATCAGATTTCGGAATCGTTAACGTCGGTCGCATATGGTTTTTCAATATATGTTCTCGAGTCTGTGAGTTTTTGGGACCGTCCCGTTCGTCTTTTTCCTGTTTGTAAATCTAATCAATCTGCAGGGAGCATTGGTAATTTTCATCAGCTATGGCTAGATTTGTTGTATCCTATCATGTTATCCAATTTAAACATGTTTCTGGTCAAATATTATTGCAATTTGGTGTTAAATGAGAAATATCTCCGACGTGGCTAGGGAACTTCAAATTCGCTTTGTTGCTGCATCCTTGGCAACATTTTGGCACAAATCTTGACATAATGCTAACTATGTTTATCTGCCGAGAGACGACATTGATGAAGAAATTTAGAATGATTTAATGAGAATATTTTATCTAGAGTTCATCGAACCGCCAGTCCTATATCTCAATGAAGTGCTATCTAAATCGGCCTTTGATAGGGCTTTTATTAATTAGATGAAAGCTCTGACCCGAAAGAATTTTTTGTTTGATGTAGGTCATATATGAGGGGTATATAAAATTCAATTATAGAGTAGAAATAGATTTAATGTTTTTCCGATTTTCCAAGATAACATTCCCAAAAAATCTTAATTTAATCAGCGGGAAGTCGGTAAAGCCGTGTCTACAGTGCCTATGTTTCTATTGATTCTTTATTTCTCTGTTATATGTTTGTTTGTTTGTTTTTTTTTTAGTTTATGTGTTATATCATGCGTATGTGTGTGTATGTTTTTGTTTGTTTTTTGTTCTAATTGTTTTATTATTATTATTTTTTCTTATTTTTGTTTTGGTTTTATTCTTTTGCTTTTGTTTTTCTTTTTCTTTGCACAAACAGATTGACATAAAACACTTTCTTCATTTCTTAATACCAATAGAAAAAGATATTTATTTATCTCTCTTTTTTTCAAATGATATACATTTCTTTTAATGCGTATTGTCATTCGAGAAAAGGAAAATTAATACAATTTGACACTGACCGATGAATTTAAACCGTGGCAAGTAAAGATTTTGATAAATCAGGAGAATTGAGTCTCAGAATTCGAAGCGCCCGCTGCGGTTTCCCCACAGGATTTGATTAGTGGCAATTGTGGTCATTAAAAATCGACTGTGTCTAATTCCCTCTAATCAGGGGCAATGTTGACAGAAGAGGCTCAGACTCGGGGTTGTCCCTGATAACTAGAGTCTTCCATCTGATTTATACAATTTGTAAAAAATACTTTCTACTGCTTTTGCTTCAAAAGAATCCCGTAATATACTGTATGACTAAGTTTAAAAATAAATGAATATAATGCTAATTTCTTTTGTCTTTAAATTTATTTTTAATTTAATTCATTTATTTAAGCTGAATATTGTGCGTTGCCATGACGTCATCGTCATTCTTAGAATCATTCAGCATTATCAGTCCCTGCTATTTTTTTTTTTTTTGGATAAAAAGAACAATTAAGATATAACAATGCCCAAAAGTAACTTCGAAGATCTTTGAAATAGCTCTATATTTTGTCAACGGAATAGTTCAAAAAGCTTTAAATCAAAATTGAAAATTTGGAGAGAATAAAAATGATATAAAAAATTTCTGCTTAAAAATCCCAGTTCATTAATCAAGCCGCATGCGTGATGGCGTTTTGTCACGATTTGATGTTGAGCAGATATTGGTTTTGTTTGCCAGCGCTAACAAGTGTCAAAACCTTGAAGATGTTTCTTATATACGACATAAATCAAGCTAATTTAAAACAAATATTTTCACGATGTTACTCCTTAATAGTAACAGTGAAACCGAGACGAATCCGTGTCGATTTCAAGACAACCACGTGTGTTCCTTTGCACAGCAGTCGCTTTTTCATTCGTCCATCGCCAGCAGTTAATTAATAAACTTCTAATTTGCTCCGTCATTGATTAATAGCTAGTTTTCTTTCGTCCGAACAGACGTATTTATTTTCTTACTTCATTAAATTCGGTGCACTTCATAAATTCAGGAATGAAGTCTGAAATGCCTTATTTTTATTTCGGCATGGGGTGCATATATTGTTTCCAATTATTCGGTTGTTCAGCGATACAGTTATTGCTAAAATAACAAATTATGGTCTTCATTTTCTTATCAAAAACATATCATTTTTTCTCTCCGAGAAGAATGATGATGATTTTAAGCTGTCAAATTCGAAAGAGGATATTCGACTTTTGACAGATTATTTCATCCTCCCTTCATTCATCTTTCCCCCTTTCTCTTAGTACTCAGTTTTTATATGGTAATTAGACATATTCTGCAGGAACCCATCTGCATGATTTATGCCTTTATAAAAGTTATAAATGAAAAAAATAACAATATATAAATATAAGATTAAATTCAATGAATATAAATTGGAGGGCGAATTAAAATACAAGTCTTCGGACAAAATTCCACTTGCTTGGGAGGTGTAATAAAATTCTTTTACAATTGTAACTTTTTAGAAGTAATTGGTGCATGTTTATGTACATTACGAGATACAATATAAAAGAAATATATCGTTAAAATTGGAAGACTAAAATCTGTTTATTTTCCCAAAAACAATATATGTCACCAAACAATAAACAAATTCAAGAAATGTATACACACTGTACTGCTTATCGAGGTTCACCAGAAATATAATATTAATCGCTTCTTATCGCACTTCAGAAAAGATTATCTACCAAAATAACAAAACATTATCTAAGCTGTTCTACAGGGCTCCTGGTTTTAAAGCTGGGAGAAGTTAATAGTCCGTTCGAGGGTTGTTTGACATTTACCGATAATTCTTTTGCAACCTTAAAACCTTTGATGTACACACGATACCTCTTTTTTTTTTTAAAGATTCGAAAAGAAAATCTTATGGCCTTGTCTAATATTTTTAGTAAAAATGTGTCTTTGAGTTAAAGAAATCAACATCGATGTACAAAAATAAATTTTGTTTTTAAAAGGCCGAAATTCAATCAAGATCTCAGAAATAAATATTGATGAACAGCTTTATTAAATATTTGTATATTTAGATTAAAAAAACAAATCTAAATTTGATTATTTTAAAATTCGGTATTTTGTTGTCTTTTAGCACAATTCATTTTATTTGTTTTGGTAGTACACTGAGGGAAATAGCAAAAATGTCTTCTTTTTTTTTAAATTTATCAAAATAAAAAAAGAAAGAAAGAAAGAAAAGACTTACCATATAATCTGAACTGCCACTGGTCGAGCCTGTATCGTTGACATGGTCGTCATTCCGAGGAATCCTATTACCGTGTAATAATTCTTCTAGACTCTCTATATATTCTATGGCGTTCCGTAAAATTTCTACCTTCGGAAGTCTCTGATTAGGGTTTGGACACGTCCTTCGTTTTAGTGTTTCAAACGCTTCGTTGACTTTCCGGAGTCGTCTTCTTTCCCGGAGTGTAGCTGCCTTTCGTCGATCGATAGTAACAGTCTTTCTTTTACAAGCCTTACAAGCCCAGAGTAGACACCTTCGATTTGGTCCGTGAAATCCTGGCGCTAAAACATGAGGTACATGGTCGTCTCCGTCATCGGATCCAAGACTGTCCCTGTCAATGGAATCCTCTTTTTCTGGGGAACCACACTCAGAAGAATGTTTTTCATTGAATTTTTCAAACGATTCACCTTTTATCAGTTTAACTTCACATTCAATCTCAGTTTCGGTTTTGGCATCCTTCATTTCAGAATATTGCCGCTGATCTTTCGAACGCGAACAGACTTCGGATTTTACGTTTGGTGGGTCAGAAGAAGGTTGCAAAGGGGTGAAAAATGTCCTTGAAGGAATATTTGTAGATTGGTAAGAATACATCTCAGTGCCGTAGGGACGTTCGAAATGGCGGTGAAATGTTACGTTGTTTGTAGCGTAGTAATCGGGGTTCCCCGGTGAATTGGTATAAGATAAATCCGTCAATTGACGCCCCTCTGGCATTTCGCCTGCTACTAGCGGATGTCCAGCGTAGCTCTGGTGGCTTGGTTCATAACGGCAACTCCGATAATCCGCCATCATCATCATCTTGATAAAGGAGCACGTGCTGAGCTATCGTCTGCTTTTTCAATTTAATATGTTTATGATGAAAAATTTGTAGTAAAACTGAAGTAAATTCGCACGAAGAGTATTAAAACTCTAATAAATCAACAAAGGTATCCCCTTGGTTTCAAATCAATCAAGGGACTTTTAACGCAACTCACCAAATTCCTCCTAAATATCTGCTTGGCGAAAGTTTTTGGTTTCAGAATTGTTGCTTTGAAAAATTCTAATTGCCAGTTGTAATTTTTTACTGGGCGAATTTTTGCAGGCAACGCTTAGCATTAAATGCCTAAATGATTCCAGAAACCATTAGCAAAGACCATTTTCACTTTTAGCAAGTTTTCATATGTCATCAAGTCGTGTTCTAAAATTTTCTAAACTCGATAAGAAAATAAATTTCACACGTGGAAAATATTTTCAAATTAATTAACTGTCAAACTCCACCATCCGCACAGCTAGAAGCAAATATGTCTGAGAGACCAGCGTGAAAGCAATGTCTCGGTAGCGTTTTTAAAAAATAATGGCAGGGATAACAAGAAATTGTAATATTTATAACAAGCCTCGTTACGTGAGAAACTTTTTAGGTTTTTGGATTCTATATCTCTTCGAAAGCACTACATATAATTAGCTTTCAGCCAATCAACACCCTTGTAGACAAACGATGAATTTGCTTCCGCATTCAAACCTCCCCCTTTGACGCCTTTTCATGCATTTAGCAATATGACAGAGAGAGGAAAAGGTCACTTAAGAGGTCAAATGTTAAAATGAAAGTAAAAACATATGTGCAATGAATGTAATATGAGGGGAGACGATCCCTCTCGTAGTACGACTTACTGAATAAAAATATTAAGTGATTCAAGTGGGCTTTCAATTTTCCATTTACAAAAGGTTTCATAAGAGACCTACATTCATTGGCACTTAAAAAACTCGTGTATGACTTCCGATTCTCGATAGTATTTAAAAGAAAAGTGCAAAGGATATCCTTTCTCTCCATGAAAACAAAAGATATTCTCTACAACGTATTTTTAAAAACATAATTAAGAATATTGTATTGAAAGAGTACATTATGAAGCATAAAAAATTCAAAGTAAGAGACTACTGACATCTTTCTTTTTAGTGCATTTTCTCATAGAGCTAAGTACGCCACAGTGCACGTGCATATTCCTTAAAATCGATTACCCCTCGAGTGTCCACTTCTGAAAACATGAATGTGTTTTTGGCTGGTGAGAACAGCAAAGCAAGCTGAACGTAGGAGGTTTGTTAAACTCTAAATTACAGTACCTTCCCATAATGAATATTTCAAGTACAAATCAAAGGCGAAGCGACCAGGAGAAGAACTGGGATCGCAAACTGTCTCTGAGTGAGTAGGTTTTCTTTGAAGTTTTTTGAGAAATTGACGGTCTACCTCTCCCAGTACACGTCAAAAGAGACATAATAATGAAACTCCAAAATAAAAACAATAATTCCATTATGTACGATAAATTAGAAAAGCTTCAAGTCCACGAGAAACATGTAAGAAAGAAGTGTTTATACATAAGAAAATTACAATTTAATTTTGGGTATTAGTTTTTCGTACATGGAATACAAATTCGTTCCATAATGGTTATTCATTCGAATAATTAATGTCATGGTTATGATTTTAATTTGGACGAGGAACACTTTTCAGCTCTTTTAAAAGAGCCTTTGTTAACTTGTATTGTATAATGATTAAACGTATCTTAATTATTATAATATCTTTCCATTATATATATATATATGTATATATGTGTCTGCTCTCCAATGACTATTTTTTTTAAGTAACATGTAAAAACATCTGGTTGAACACTACTACTTACTTATTACAGTCTACATAAGTACATCTACAAATGTACATGAGTTTGCACATTTACAATTCTTATTATGCTCTGCAAATAATGTGGTGAATATGAACATGCAGATGATCCCCTTTTTTGGAATTTTTATTATTTGTTTCTTTTTGTACGTTTGGATTTTGTTTTATTTTGTTTTATTTATTTTTTTTTCTTTATCTTAAAATGTTGAATATGAATTCTTCATCGTACATTTTTGGAAAGAAAAACCAGGATGTTATTACTATTTTCATTTTTTATGGGAGTTGAGGCTCACACTAAGTAAAGAAAAGGAAAGTAAATTTAAGATAGCAATTTTCGATTCGGATAGAATTGTACAAAGATTTTGTATATGATAACCTCACACATTTCAACTGTAAGTGAAATTTGATGCATTTTAATTTACATATAGGAAAAACTGATTACATGCATGCTATTAACTTTTTTGAAATACTTAGCTATACTTAGCTATTGACCAGAGAAATGAAATTAAATAATCATAATTGAGTACTTATTCTCTTTGTCCTCCTAAACACGAGTAGAAAGGGAGAATAATAAGATAATACACTGTTAATATTTTGAATATTCATAATCGTTCTGCAGCGAGTGTTGACTTCAAATGTTTTAATGTTTTTAAGTTCTCTGAATCTCACATTTTTACAATTTCTATTTTCTTATTGCTCTTCGACAAAATTTTTCTCAGTGTTATTGAAAATATTAATTTCATATTATTTTTTTTATATATAATTTGCTGAAAAGTGACAAAAAAGACATCATTTTACAAAACTACGTCCTGAAAGTTTATAACAAAGTTTTGAACATTTAACGTAAAGTCTATTTACAGATTGGCATTTTATTCAATTTCCTTTATAAATTATATTCTCAGAAGAATATACCCAGAATACCTGGGAAAAATCAGAAAGCAAAGGTCAACATTGAATAAAATTTAGTCGGCTAAACCATGATGTGACGATATCTATATAAATCCGTGTAAATATTATAGGATTAGTGACAATGATTGTGTGTATTGTTCTAGTCATTTCTGGGGGGACATGACACAAAAAACAGGTGTTTAACATTCGTTTCCTAGTAAATATTACAAAGTTAGAATATGTAATAATGTTTTGTACGTAAATAATTAAACAGGAAAACCTATAGGAAATTGAATACTCAGTTTTCAATTATGGTGAAAGAAAGGGATAAATATGGAAGCCTTGAAGGTTTACCTCGACAAGGAAACGTTAATGATGAACCGAGAAGAGAAAGATAATTATATATAATTTTCTTACTTTGTTCATTTACGTACTAAATGCAGTCAAAAGTGATCACAAAATATGATATCCGAATCTCAGACCTTCAAAGTAATAAGTTTGGTGAAAAGGTGCCAAATCCTCCACTGGTATAATAAAACAAAAGTAATGTCTCTTGAAAGTGAAGACGCAAAATATCCGAAAAGTGCTAAATGTATCTTAATCGTAATAACTACGAACTTACCCTTTTGACCTACTAAATCTATTGTTATATGTCTTTTGCTTTCTATGGCAGTTAATTCCATTTCACAGTTCGTTAGCAGGGAAATTACAAATAGGCAACGAGCGTAGAACCTTACACAAACCCAGAAGATTTGAGTAGAAATTTATACAGCAACAGATACTGGAAAATGATATATTCAACGCCTCATAGACAGAATAATAAGCATTTTAAATGTAGGCTTTGGGAGAATCATCTGCTTTTTAGATTTCGTCATTTGACAATTGAGTGCGATTTCACAAAGCATGAACTGACAACTTATTTCAGTCAGACTTTAGACAAGCGGCTACAGAAAGGTATCCAAGCGAGGGATCCGGCTCATGTAAGGTTTTATAATTGGTCATATATCCAGATAAAAATCTTTTTTAGAGAAACATTTATATAGCCACACATAAAGAATCAAAATCTGACAAGAAAAGTAATCTGATGAGAGGTTTTTAACATCAAAACTTTTCAAGCGGCGATATCTGTGATTTCTTTGAAAATGATTACGACCTTTACATATTTGAAGTTCTACTTTGTAGCCGAGTCTTAAAGTTTTGGAAATAATGCGAATACCGAAATCTGGGAGTTGCATTGCTGTCTTAAAATATTTGTTTATATAAAAGAGATCCTATCTTGGTTTGTATATTAGGTATGTACTTTACAACTCCGATATCTGGGTCTGATACACGTTTTATTTAGTCTTATATGCATGCTTTGTAAGCGCATCATATACAAAGATTTGTCAAGAAATTTAATTTCGAGCGTACTATGATAAGAAAAATATACAAAGAAGATCCTCCTAAGCTGTTCATTGAAATCACGAGCTATATGAGACTGTCTTTGATGTAACGTGCGCCATTTTGGAGTCAATCCTTTTAAAATTACAGTTACTCTGTAAAACAAAAACATCTTTTTATTAACCCGAATTAAAGTTAGTTCACTTTTTAAACCTGAGCTATAGTTAGTTCAGTGAAAAAGATGTCAGGAAGAATGTATATCTGTTCAAAATTATATATATATATGTATGAAAAAAATATTGCTGGGTTTTTAAGTAATAACGTAATTGTAAGTAAATGGAAAAAATATCTACATATAAAACCGTCTTGTAAACATAGTTTTGAAGACACTAAACATCTTTTACACAGGTTAACTTTGTGAAAATATTTGGAGGAAAATAAGTTTAAACTGGGGTTTTGAAAACACCTGGAAAATATTGATGCTTGGATTTTACAATGAAATCGATACTAAAACAACTAGATTGAATAATTTATAGTCATTGATATAGCTGACGTTTTTCATACATATATTAAGCCATTATGTCTACGGATTTTTCCTTAGCCCGATCATGACAAGAAACACATGGCGGGTGTGACCGATCGACAGGGGATGCCTACTCCTCCATGGCACCTGATCCATCTCTGATATGTTTAAAAATCCGTATTTGCTCTGCTCCTAATTCATATCGTTCCATTGGACTTTTGGATAACTGTTCGTTATCTTAATATTTCACGTATCAAGTTTTAATAAAAAGGAAAAAAGAAAAATTTAGAAGAAATTGTAAAAGAGTACTCGGATCACCGACGCATCATCATGGTGTCATGTGACTTGAACAAGTATACGAAAGCTATTTTTAATATAAGTATTTTCTTCTATAATCTGATAATCAAATGAAGTTCGAGAACATGGTGAGGGCAATTAATTTCTGTGAATAAATTTTCAGTTAATTACTCTCATGTATTTTAACATCCCTAAAAACCAATATGCTTGAATTTTGACTCACCTACATACACGTGTGTATTAATAAAGGCTTTATCAAGTGTTAACACTTCAAATATTAGAAAGAATTTACACCTAGTGAATAAAGTTTCGTCGAATATAACGAATACATGTACAGTTTCTGAATCTGAGAGAAAAAAACACTTGCAGGTTATAGCAAACTCACAATCACGAAACCATTAAGTTATAAAGCATTAAATGGAATTGTTTGGTAAAATGATCCTTTTTAGACTATTTAGTTAAATCTTCTGAAAACGAAGCGTATATAGGATATTGCATTAAATCGTATGCATCACTTCAGAATGTCTTCCTCATGGTCCCATCTTTCTTTTATTGAGTCCTAGACCAAAAATTTATGGCTAAAATAAGGATCTTTTGGGTACTTTTTTGACCACACAGCCTCTTTAATTAACTGCGTACATGTAT